CTCCTTAAATTAGGATAAATTATGCCCCACATTCACTGAAAACTGAAAACTGCCATTAATTATCACGGAGATCCATCAGTTTAGCTCCATGTTAAGAGTGAACAATAATGAACAAGGATAAGAAGCATAAGACATGCAATATTTTTAAATAAAACAAAACTGATTAGAACCTAGGATCAGATTCCCCTCTTTGTGACTCCAGTGAAATCTACTATATATGAGTATCTTGCCTATCCTGGGGAGAAAACCAGCCAAAGACTTGGAGGATGCCTTATGTATTTTTTCATCAATATTATTGGTGATTCACAAATTGTCTTTTGAAAGTTTAACTATAATTTTTGATTTTATTGCTGACAATAGGCAGAAATGAATTGATATATGTTAGTTATTTGCTAGGAAGGAAGATCTAGATATTCTTTAGGTTAAAAAACAAAAACAAAACAACACAGCTGAAGACCACCTTTTGGGGGCAGTTGCCTTTCTCTTGCTTCATCAGGTTTTGTAGTCAAGACTTAGGACAGGGCCAGGTGCCATGACTCCATGTCAAATCCCAATACTTTGGAAGGCCAAGTCAGGAGGATCACTTGAGGTCAGGAGTTCAAGACCAGCCTGGGCAACATAGCAAGGCCCTGTCTTCACAAATAAAAAATAAAAATTAGCTGGGAGTGGTGACATGCGGCTGTGTTCCCAGCTACTTGGGAGGCTGAGGTGGGAGGATGGTTTGAACCTAGGGGTTCAAGGCTTCAGTGAGTCATGATTATGTCACTATACTCCAGCCTGAGACAGAGCATGGCACGATCTCTAAAAATAAATAAATAAGAAAGAAAAGTATCTGCATTGTAAACGAAACCAGAAAGGCTCATTCTTGTTACACGAAGGAGCTGAAACTGGTTAGTATGGAAAATGGTAAATCAGTTATGGCGTTATAGGTAATATTGATCTCATCATAGTTGATGTTAGCAAGTGATTTCCTCAGGGAAGGAAGAGAAGAGCGTCAACATACTAGGAACAGTGCCTGCTGAATTGGAAAATTCGCTGTTGCTGGACACTGACTATTGGATAATTTCAAAGCTTAGATCAAGAACAGTAATTTTGTTTGTCTTGTCTACTCAGCACCCATCACCATGTATGGCACATAGTAGGTATTTAATACAGTTGACAAACTTTTTAAAGTCTATAATCATGAAGGAATGTGGAGGAAACAATAGCACATAGCTGAGTGAAAGAAGCCAGTGTGCAAAAGTTACGTATGATTCTAACTACATACATTCTGGAAAAGGCAAAACTACAGAGATCAATGATTAGCAGGGGCTCAGAGGGAGGGAAAGAAGGATAAATCAGTGGGGAGCAGGGGATTTTTAGGGCAATGAAACAATTCTGTATGATGTGTAATATTAGATACATGTCGTTATATATTTGTCAAAACCCATAAAATGTACAATACCAAAATTGAACCCTAATGAGGCTCAAATTTGAGCCCTAACCTATGGACTTTGTTAATAATAATGTATTTGAGCCTCAAACTATGGACTTTATTAATAATAATGTATCAATATTGGCTCGTCAGATACACAGCACATGTACTGCACCAATGCAAGATGTTAGTAAAAAGGGCAACTGTGGTAGGGAAAGAAGGTGTATGGGAACTCCCCGTACTTTCCTGCTCATTTTTCTGTAAACCTAAAACTGCTCTAAAAAGTAAAGCCTATTAAATTTTTTTAAAAGTTTACGAAGGTTTATTGTGCCCTGACTTTCACTCCAGGGTGATACAAAAGGAGCTGATAGAAACTGGGTGAATAAATGAATGTGATATCCAAGGTAATATTCATGAACATTTATTTTCTTTTGAATAAATAACCATTGAGTGCCAACCACAGGACTGCTAGGCAATGTATGGCATAGAAAGAAAAGAAGCTGCTCCTTATCTGAGAACGTCAAATTGTTCTCAGATTTATTTATTTGTTATATCAAACAAATAAAAGCTGTTTTATTCTCGACCACAACATTCGTCAAGATGGAAAATGTTTACTGCCAAAGAAGAAAGAAACACTTCAGGGAGTGTGACTAAAGTAAAAGTGATTGGGTCAAAAACAAAGGCTCAAAACTAAATGTATGAAGACAGGGAAAGCATCTCAATAAAATTGAAGGTGAAACAGTTCATGCTGCATATAAATGAATATCAGCAGCAGTCAGAAAGCTTACGTATGTATGATGTTGTAAGTCACCTGTGATGCATTATAATCACCTGGAATTGGACAAAGGATGGAACAAAATCAACCCCTTTTGCCTGCTTGCCTTGGGCCCACCTCCAACACATACATACATGCACACACATGTGCACACACAAGGATCTCTAAGTTATAGACAGTTCAATGCAGCCACTGGAGGAAACTGGTATGGTAAAAGGAGATGTCTCACCTGGTGTTTAAAATGAAACAAAGCAAAACACAGGCATATACAATTAAGACATCTTTCTCATCACCAAAAAGGCAGAGGTAGTTCTGCCTCTTCCTGGTTCCACACCCACTCCCTTAGCTGACCTGTTGTGACTTCCTTTATTCTTCAAATCTGACCTGAGTGTATAATTTAAGCTGGTTTGATCTCTATACCAATTGTAATACATCAAGTGGTAAAGAAAGTGACAAAATGAAAACAATACAATTTTCCCTAAATCCCACCCCACACAAGGACAGGCCAAACTTGAATTGAGGTGTTTTGTTTTGTTTTTATTTTTTTACACAGAGTCTCGCTCTGTCACCCAGGCTGGAGTAAGCCTCACTTTGTCACCCAGGTTGGAGTACAGTGGCACGGTGTTGTCTCACTGCAACCTTCGCCTCCTGGGTTATGGCAATACTCAGCCTCAGCCTCCAAGTAGCTGAGACTACAGATGTGCACCACAGTGCCTGGATAATTTTTTGTATTTTTAGTAGAGACAGGGTTTAGCCATATTGGCCAGACTAGTCTCGAACTCCTGGTCTCAGGTGATGCCGGCCTCGGCCTCCCAAAGTGTTGGGATTACACGTGCAAGCCACTGGGAACTCCAATGAAAAAAATTTTTTTTTTCTTTAGAGATGAGGTCTTGCTGTGTTGGCCAGGCTGGTGCCAAACTCCTGGCCTCGGGTGATCCTCCCACCTTGACCTCCCAAAGTGCTGGTACTACAGGTGTGAACCAACACACCCAGCCCTCAAGATAGATGAAAACAAAACAAAACAAACAAAACACAAACACCAGCAAACCACACACAGTCCCCAAGATTCCAAACATTGGGCAATGCTTCTTAAAGAGTTGAACTATAACAGATTTGGGGCATTTTTTGAATATCCCTAATGAGGAGGTAATATAAAGTTAATGCTTTATAGTGAAAGGCTCAGTTCTACCACTTACCAGCCAGGAAAGTCACACAGAGTATCTGAATCTCATTGTCCACATCTCTAATGTAAGGGTTGTAATAACGCTTATCCTTTACAACAGACAGTTATCATAAAGATAAAATGAGATAAATGAAAGCAAAAGTATCCATCCATCTATCTACCTATCTATTTATCTATCTATCTATCATCATCATCATCATCATCGTCATTGTCATTATTCCTTCCCTGCCTGGAAAAATACAGGTTGCCCAAGAGATACCCAGGAAAGCGCCTAAGTATTTTTAGGGTATAATTCAACCCTTGGTGAAAACTTGAACAACTGGAAGTATGTAGGTTGGCTTTCAATTTCAGCAGATTGTTGTCACCAAAGCTGCAGCCTCCTGACGTGCTGGTTATGCACTGCACAACTCCAGGGGACGCCATTCATTTCAGGACCCATAGCTGAAAACTAAGGTTTAGTAGGTGAAGATTTCAGTTCGCACTTTCTGTAATAAGCTCATAAGTGGTTAAGCAAACTAGATAGCTAGCTATCCGAACAACTGGCACATGGCCCTCATATTTTCAAATAAATTTGGGAAGTACAAAACATTCAATGTACAAAAAGGATCTCCGTTCTGGAGATTTAACTAAGCCTTTTTTTAAAGTGATAAAATATATATACAGATACTAAAACTAAAAAGAGACAACAAAAAGTGGAGGAATTTTAGCTAAAAAAAAATCCCACTTATTTGGAAAGGTATCCAATCTTATTTTACTACAACGAAGCTGCTAAAAATATGTTAAGTCCTACCTCCAATTCTGATATCAGCCACAACAGAAATGTCTCCTAAAATGCAAATTTTAAATAATAGCTCTAAGAGAACAGAAAGTTTCTTCCTCATGCAAATGAATTTTGCTCTTGAAAAGAGAGCGTGAACTGCAGAGAGGAGACCGTGATACCAGAGCCTCATCCTCTTGAGGGCAGGCAACTCTGACCCCAGTGTTTGGACATTTTCCAGAAGTTTTCACTCCTAAAGTGTAGGCAGTTTCAATCAACAACTTAAAGGGATTTTTTTTTTAACTTGAAAGTTATCCCAATCTTTATCTGGAAGAGTAAACACATGAAAATAACATGGAGATTCTGGAAAGAAATAAGGTAGGGAGCTAGCTCTACCAGGCACTAAAACATATTATGAAGCAAGCTTGGCCAACCAGTGGCCCAGGGGCTGCATGTGGCTCAGAATGGCTTTGAATGCAGCCCACAAACAAATTTGTAAACTTTCTTAAAACATCATAACTTTTTTTTTTTTTTTTGGGACGGAGTTTCTCTCTTGTTACCCAGGTTGGAGTGCAATGGCGCGATCTCGGTTCACCGCAACCTCCGCCTCCTGGGTTCAGGCAATTCTCCTGCCTCAGCCTCCCGAGTAGCTGGGATTACAGGCACGCGCCACCATGCCCAGCTAATTTTTTGTATTTTTAGTAGAGACGGGGTTTCACCATGTTGACCAGGATGGTCTTGATCTCTTGACCTCGTGATCCACCCGCCTCGGCCTCCCAAAGTGCTGGGATTACAGGTGTGAGCCACCACGCCCGGCCACATCGTAAGATTTTTTTGCTTTTTTTTTTCTTTTAGCTTATCATCTATCATTAGTATATTTTATGTGTGGCCCAAGACAATTCTTCTTCCAATGTGGCCCAGGGAAGCCTAAAGGTTGGACACTCCTGTATATAAAGCAATGCTAATTAAAACTTGGTGGCACTGGTATAAGAACTGAATTGGCAAAGCTCTCAATGAAGCATAATAACCTATACATGAATTCTAGTATGTGTAAACCACGTGTTAAAAGTTGTATCACAAGTTAATTGGGAAGAAAAGATCATCCCATAAATTGTAATGAGCTGAATAGCTAACAATTGAAAAAAAAAAAATCAACTCATATATTTACTTCACAGCATAAATAGAAACTAAATTGTAGAATATTTAAAGAGATGAAAAAAATCAAGCTTTAGATGAACTGAAAAAAAATAGAATTAAATATTTTTCAAGCCTCTGGAAAAATATGAGTTTCTAAGCTTGGAAGCAATAGAAGATATAAAAACTTGACAACATAACAACTACATAATTTTGAAAGTTAAAGTAAAAAGGCCACCCTGTGACTGCAGCACTTTGGGAAGCCCAGGCAGGAGGACTGCTGAAGGCCAGAGTTTGAGACCAGCCTGGGCAACAAAACAAAACCCTGCCTCTAAACAAATTAAAAATAAAAGACAATAACAACAACAACAGAAATAAATAAAATAAAAAGGCAAACAGTAACCTAGCAAATACAGTCACTTATGGAAAGGGACTAATACATCTAAATGAATTAGATAAATAGATAAAAAATTATTAAGACTCTAACAGATAAGCGAGCAAAGGGCATGTCCCTACTTAAAAAAAAACTTACCTGAATTGTGATTTTAAAAAGAAACAAATGAAACAAAGATGCATCATTTTAGCCCACTAAATTGACAGAATTAAAAAGGGATGATAATAAAATAGCCGGTATGGAGAAATTGATACGTTGTGCATTTCTAGTGCCATTTCACATTTTAGAAAGCAATAAATTTGATGACACGTCAATAAAGAAAAATAAACGTATACTTTCTATCCAGGGGTCCCTTTTCTGGAAATGAAGAAAATAAAAGGTATGTAAAAAGCCTTATGCACTAGGAAAGTCATTGAATATTACTTATGACTATGAAAGAATAGAATTATAAGCTGGATGTGGTGGCCCGTGCCTGTAATCCCAGCCACTTGGAAGGCTGAGGAAGGAGAATTGCTTGAACCCAGGAGGCAGAGGTTGCAGTGAGCTGAGATCACGTCACTGCACACTAATCTGGGCAACAGAGTGAGATTCCGTCTTAAAAAAAAAAAAAGAATTATGTAAAACTTCAGAATTGGTTCAGTAAAGTGTAGAAAGAGACAAAGGGTCATTTGGAACAACAACAACAAAAAGAATGAATGATTGAAACCTACATAACATGGAATATTATTCCATGAAAAAGAAGTTAATATATGAATTGAATGACCAAGCAGTGTAGCTATTGTTTGGTAAGGGCGGGGGTGGGGGTGGGGGTTCGTCCACTGATAACAGCATCCCTCGAGTTGGAGAATTTCTTTCCAACTTTATGTAATCCTGGTGGGGACGTAGGTCATGGTGGCCTACCCTCATCTCTCCCAACAGGTAAGCTTATGGCCCGGGTTGACTGGTGACAATGCAACACTGCCCTGTGCATGGTAATTGGTCAAAGGAGGGATACATTTTCCATGATTGACTAATTTGAGTATTTTCCCAAAATTCTCCAAACTATGGGTAGACAGAAGCTCTCTCTTCCTTTTGGATGACCTTGGGCTGTTGGCGGCTGTACCCCCTGCTGGTTAGTTTCAGAAGTGCTGAAGGAGAGGATGGAGGCAACATAGAAAAAGAAGCAGAATTAATGAGAAAAAAAGACAGATCTGAGGACATTCTCTGGACTTCTGGATACAGCCTTACCTAAAGCCCGTGTATTTCCTGCTTACATGAGCATTTCTGACACATGGTTTGATATGTTTAAGCAGATCTGAGTTAGGATTCAGTCTTCAGTATTTGTGCACACACTCATGCAGAAACAATTTCTGTACAATATTTTTGGTGACCAGAGTACTCTTAAAAATTTAGATCAGATATGTCATTGCCATGTTTAAAAATCTTACAATAGCTTCATATTGCTCTTAGACCAAGAGATAATCTCCTTACTGTGTCCTGTGATGTCCCCTTCTCTCTCTCTGTCTCTCTCTCTCTCTCACACACACACACACACACACACACACACACACGTACATACACATACACACCCCTCTCCCTCCCTCTTTTCCTTCCATGCTCCTCTGGCTCATTTGCTCTATCTAAATGGCCACCTTTCTGTTCCTCAAACAAAGTTTATTCCTATCCTGGGTCTCTTGCTTTCCCATGTGTGAAAAATGCTGAGCCAGACCTTCATAAGTCTGATTCTTTCTGTTTTTTGTTTCTTTGTTTGTTTTTGGAGATGGAGGCTTGCTCAGTTGCCCAGGCTGGAGTACAGAAATTCTCCTGCCTCAGCCTCCCGAGTAGCGGGGACTACAGGTGTGTACCACTACACCGGGCTAAATTTTTGTTTGTTTTTTTGAGACAGAGTATTGCTCTTTCACCCAGGCTGGAGTGCAGTGGTGTGATCTCGACTTACTGCAACCTCCACCTCCTAGGTTCAAGTGATTCTTGTGCCTCAGCCTCCTGAGTAGCTGGACTACAGGCACCCGCCACCACGCCCAGCTAATTTTTGTATTTTTGTAGAGTTGGGGTTTTGCCATGTTGGCCAGGCTGGTTTCGAACTCCTGATCTCAGGAGATCCTCCCGCCTCAGCCTCCCAATGTGCTGGGATTACAGGTGTGAGTCACTGCACTCGACAGATTCTTTCTTGTCCAGCAGTCTCATGTCAAGCGACCCCTCTGTGAGGCCTTCCCTGACTACTCACTCCACATTACTCTCCTTTTTTTACTTCCCCTTACTTATTTCCATCATAAATTATCTTACTTATTTGATTGTTTATTATCTGCCTTCTGTTTTAGAATGAAGGAAACATTTAGAATAAAAACTTGTATGTACATTAAGAATACAGGAAACAATAAGTATTTGAGAAAAGATTGAAAGAAAATACATAGATTTATAACACTGGGGTGATGGGGATGGATAGTGTCTTAATTTCCTTCATCTTTCTTCATTATCCAAATTTTCTGTGGTGTGTTTACACAGTTTGGAAATTAATTAAGACTCAGATAGAAAGAAATCATATGCTTTTCAGAATCCACTAAACTTCCTGGCATTTTAATAAAGAATTTTTTGTCTTAATTTTCAGAAACTGTTAACAACAGGTTTTGCCAACAACCTCCCTCACAAAAATCTCTTGGTTAAAAAAGAAGGGGGAAAAAACAGAAAAAAGCAAAAGAGAACTGAAAAGGAACATTGGTATGGTGGTTCATTAGAGTCCTCCTAATCACTAAGGATCATTTGTTAAAGGTGCCAAAGCACAAAATATAACTGTGGTGGGCTTCTATACATAAACATCAGCGCACATCGAGACCTATTCATGACCAGACACAACAACAAAAGTTCTTAGAATGGTCTGGCCCAATGCCACAGTCAAGTGCATGATGAACAGAGTCTGCAGCCCAGTAGCGAATTGAGAATAAAAGGCCTATGGTGTACATGTTCTGCGATTTTTGTCATTTCAGTGGTATTTACATTTTCTTTTCAAATTTAACACTCCGTGTTATGGTTTGAATGTTTGTGTCTCTCAAAAATTTATGTTGAAACTTAATCCCCAATGTAACAAGCGGCGAGACCTTTGAAAAGTGATTAGGCCATGAGGGCTCCACCCCTGTGGCTGGAATTCATGCCTGTATAAAAGGTCTTGAGGGAGTAAATTCATCTCTATTCATCATTCTGCTTCTGAAGACACAGCATTCATCCACTCCTGAGGACACAGCAACAAGGTGCCACCTTGGAAGCAGAGAGTAAGTGCTTACCAGGCACTGAATCTGTCAGCACCTTGATCTGGGACTTCTCAGCCTCCAGAGCTTGAGAAATTTCAACTATTTATACATTACCCAGTCTGTGGTGCTTTGTTATGGCATCAGGAATGAACTAAGACACTCCATAAAAGTTTTCCCATCTGAGGTGCTCACATCTGTGTCTTTAACTCCATGGTGATCTACCTCCTGGAAATCATATCTCTCTCTCTCCAGGTCCTCTCCTAACCCTGTCACATGGACCTTGGCCCTCTCAGAGATCCCAAAATCACCCTCTCTGGTTTATTTGAGTTTCACGTTTTTCAACTACCTAGTCTCACCTTGAATGGATAACATCGTTTACTTTTTCTATAAACAGTTATTGAGTGCCTATGTGTAGCAGATTCTAGACATCAACAAGGGATGCGTCTCTTCATAGAGCCTATAGTTTACTACAGGAACGAAGCAAAACCAAGAGAACGAACAAAATCAACAGAAATTTTGGCAAGTCGGAGGAAGGAAACAAATAGGATTGCCTGTGAGGATGGTTAGGGAAGGTCCTCTGAAAAGGTATGTTGAGATCTGAAGCAGGAGGAAGGACAGCCTGGGGCAGGAAAAAGCACAGCTTATTCAAAGGCTTATACAGCTGGAGTATCATAAACAAGGAGCTAAGTGGCATGAAAAAAGATGAGTGTGGTTGGAAAATGCCAGATCAAGCATGGCCTTACAGGTCCTGGTGAGGAGGTCAGCTTTTATTTAAGTGCAATTTGAAGCAATGGAAAAGTTTTACTCTGAAAAACAATATATATAATTTGCTTTTAATTTTGTTTTACTGTACTTTAAAGTTTTACTTTACTTATCAGTTCTCAAAATAAATGAATGGATTCCTAAGAGTCATTTCCATATAAACTTTATAATGAGTTTGTCAATATCCATAAAATAACTGGGCAAGATTTTGATTGGAATCGTATAAATCTATAGATCAAGTTGGGAAAAGCTGACATCTTGACATATTGCATACTCCTATCTATGAATATTGCATATCTCCATCTCTCCAGTTAGTTGTGTCCTTGATATCTTTTATTAGAGTTTTGTAGTTTTTCTTATCCTGCAACCTTGTTATAATCAGTAACAAAGTCCAACTTAGCAGTAATCACTG